AATCCAATTACTGGGGAGGCCTGGAGTCACGTGTAGGCCCAGACTGGGTATGGTCGGCAGATTTCCTGCCCCTGATGGGAGTTTGTCTGTTTAGAGCACGGGAGGAGGCTGTTCGTGACAGCCCTCGGAGTGAGCATTTCATTCAGGACTGCGTCTCCCCCTCCACTCCTCGCCTTCTCCCTTCTACACGTGCACTTTCTCCTTTTCCCAGATCCCGACCTGATTCCCTGGATTGAAGCTGCCTTTTGGGAGTGGCTTCCCGATCCCTAACCCCCTCGCTGTGGGATAGCGTTGCCCCCATTGTGTCTCCATCTCACCCTCAATCCGTGTCTTCCCCCTCCCCCTGGGATCCAGGGTTTGGAGACCCCTCGATGGGATCTCCTCCTGGAGCAGTCTCGGCTCCTTCCAGCTCCCTCTGTCTCTCTCTCTCAGCCCAGGGACCACCAACCCCCCCCCCCCGTCTGTATCTCCCCCAGACCAAAGCCGAAGACTGGGCCAGGTCTGGGGATTTGACCACCCCCCCGCACCCCCTTACCCCTGGAAGTGTGGCTGTGGCTGGGGATATCTCTGCGAGTCTTTGTTGAAATCCCATATTTTTGGGGAGAGGGTGAAGAGGAAGGAGGGAAGATGGTGGGGGGGTGTGGGGGGAAGGACGCCAGGGTGGGAAGAGGGAAGGGCATGGGGAGAAGGGACGGTGTGAGAGGGAGGGAGTAGGAAGGGGAGGAGGGGAAGGGACAGAGAAGATAGGCCAGGCGTAAGGTGGGGTGGAAGGGAGGAGGGGAGAGGGAGGGGACAGAGGAAGAAGAGGAGAGAGGGGCACAGGGTAGAAGGGAGGAGAGGAACAATGAGGGATGTAGGAGGTGGTGGATGAGTGGAGATGTCAGCGCTGAGGGAGCGGGCGCTGTGGGAGGGTCAGCGGCGAGGGAGCGGGCGCTGTCGGAGGGTCAGGGCCGAGGGAGCGGGCGCTGTCGGAGGGTCAGCGGCGAGGGAGCGGGCGCTGTCGGAGGGTCAGGGCCGAGGGAGCGGGCGCTGTCGGAGGGTCAGTGCCGAGGGAGCACCACACTGTCAAGAGGGTCAGCGCCGAGGGAGCACCACACTGTCAGAGGGTCAGCGCCGAGCGAGCGGGCGCTGTCAGAGGGTCAGCGCCGAGGGAGCGGGCGCTGTCAGAGGGTCAGGACCGAGGGAGCGGGCGCTGTCGGAGGGTCAGCGCCGAGGGAGTGGGCGCTGTCGGAGGGAAGAGGGACATTGGGAGAGGTGGAGAGGAGACAGAAGGTGGATGACTCTGGGAGTATGTTAAATTCCTCTCTCTGTCTCTCTCTGTGTTGCCTCCCTCCTCTGCCCTGCCCTGGGCCTGATTCCCTGACCCCCCCCCACCTCCCCCAACAACAGGCAGCCTCCAGCTCGGAGAGTGAGTACCAGCTCCGTTCCCGCACTGTGGTATGTGGTTCGTGTGGCCAACCAGCCGATAAGAGTATCCAGGAGGAGGTGCACTCGATGTGTGAGATGGAGAAGGGCAGTGTGTTGAGTGGGGGGTCCAGTTTGCAGGTGTCGGGGAGCAGAACGCTGCGAACTGGGGGAGGGGGTGGTGGGCATTCGGTCCTCACCCGCTCCTACCTCATCGACAACTCATCCAGTGGATCCCAGGTCAGTGGCAAGCAGGACACTGCCACCTCCAGACACCCCATTCACTAAAACCTGCTGCTGCTACTACTGGGGTGTGT